CGGTCGCATGTAAGGGATAACCTATTGCCTCTTAACATGTGCGCCTACATTCATAAGGAGGAATGACCAGCTAACTAAACTCTGTCACTATGAGGTGATGAGTAGTTGAGTTTCTTGTTGGTCTATGGAACAAATGAATTTGCTGTAACTATCCAAATGTTAACCACATGTTCCATTGTGTTCCAAACAGCGTTTCGGCTGTCCGCCAGCAGTGTTGTTATCGACCCCTACACCCATCACATCAGAAAACCGCGAGGTGTAAAGCTCTTTTGTCAACAAAGAGGTTTAACTTCCCCTTTTTGTGTTTTCGTAACATGTGTTAAATTTGGATAGTTACAGTAAATAATTTGTTTCCCATTAGACCACAAAAACTCAACTACTCAGTGTAACGTAAATTCTCGACGGCTTTATTTTGCCTAACGGCACGAAGGTACTCGCAGTTTATTGGCGGCGGCTACCCCTTATAGTAACGTTCGTCAACCTTCGAGAAACGTAGACCAATACTTCGACTTCCTCGGAGCCCGCGCAGGTTGACGTAGCGTTTGATTGCAGTGGGACTGGTTCGCAGCGAGGACCTTAGGCAAATCCTCTCACTCTCCACACGAGATATGATGCGGTGCTTCCCTGAGCGTCAAATACCGCCGCCGATGGGAATACATTGCAATCAGTTGAAAGCTCTTTGCGTCCGTTTATGAAGCTGAAGGAGCCTCGGCGCGTCCCAACTGCACGCCACGGGACCCTGACCAAGCGTCGCTCCTGGACGCTTAGGGAGTGAGAGTGTGTTGCTTTAAGCTACAATAAAGGTTAGCTCAGCATGATAAATGGAAACAGGTAAACAGCTAGCCTGGCTCCGTTACGGCCCGTCCACACACAGGCATGAAAAAAATCTTTCAAAGCTTCGCCCATTCACTTGAATAGGGTGACGTAGAAGATTTTTAATCTTCGCCGAACTGCATTGTGGGGAGCGGAGCATGGCTTTGCAAGCATCGTGAGCATCAAAAGTTGAGCAATGTTCAACTTTTGATGCTCCCGATGCTTTCGAAGCTGGCAT